GTCCCGCGCCATCGCCAGCCCCGGCTGCGGGCCGCGCGGGAGGGGCGGCCGGAGGGCGGTGGTCAAAGGGTCGAGCGGCCTGTGACGCCGCCGCGGCGCACACCAGGAGGTGCAGCCAGAGCGCTAGCGAGCCGCGGCTCGCGGTGGGGGGATGGGGCGGGGGTGGAGAGGCCGGAGCAGGCGACCTCCCTCCTCTCGTGCTTTACCTAGAGCCCTACTCACTGCCCCTCACCCCACCCCTTTGGCGCACACCTCCCCACACGTACACACGCGCTCAGGCACCCGCGCACACACTCACACGCACACCCCAAGTGGGTGTGATCTAAGCGCTGAGATGCGCTCTGGCGCCCGGAGTTCACACTCGATCTCAACAAAACCCTTCGGAGCAGGCAGCTTGCCTTTTTGGACTACGCATTAAGTAGAACTTCCTACAAAACTATTGAATACTAGGAGCTGTAACTGGAAAACGCCGGCTGCTTAGGATGTTTGCTTCTTTTTTTTCTCTTGGGTCCATCCAGTTTTAAATCTTCCAAAGAGGAAGTTCAGAAAAATAATGCTAGGAATTATTAGTTCCAAATTCTGTACCTACAACTCTCCGTTTTCTGCCTAGTAGGGTAGGAAGGATCTTTGAAACCCACAAATAATCCAAAAAGCACTTTCAACCTCCTCCTCCAACTGGAATCCTAAAAGAGCTGCCAAATAACTAATTTAAGATTTGTGGGAGCTTTTTTTTTTAACCTTTAAAATATTCCAGAATGGTTAATACAAGGTAGTTAGGGTGGCACAGCCTGGTTAATAAACGGGATCGTTGATGGGAATCATGCTCATAAACTTTATTAGCATAACCATATTCATCCCCAAATCTGTCTCCAAGACAACAATTATATTTGAGCCAGAACTTAATTATGTGTTGATCTATCTTTATTTTACAGGAAGTATTAGTCACTCAGGCACTGGTGTGTTTTAGTTCTCTAAAGCCAATGAAAACATTTTTGGGAAGCCAACCCTTGTTTTTTCATCTTGAGAGAGAATTCAATTTACACATTCATGTAATAGGAAGGAGCTGTGAAGTGTGCAGAATTTTTTTTATCTTGGAGTTGTTACTGGCTTATTTTAAAATATTTTCCAAATCGAATGCAAATGCTAGAAAGGTGACTAGCTTTGCAGTACTGAGAAAGCAGTTAACACCCAAGAACATTTCCATCCTGTGTGTCTGATGCTCAGTTGCACTCCAAAAGGAATGAATACAGTCAATCAGTCTAAAGGTCACTTCATTTATTGGCCTGGCCCAAGAATTGAGAATTCTTATTTGGAAGGTTAAGTGCTATTCAGGGATTTGTTTCTTGTCTTGGTTGAATGGATTCCTGGTAATGGCTGTTTTCTCCATATGGTATCTCTAGTGTTTACTCTTCAAGGGAGGAACAGGAAGGAAGCTCACGTGTGTGTGCCTTTTGTTTGTGTCTTCTGATGATGACTCCCCTCCTCTTTCCAAAGGGATATGAAAGTATCCGTGTTTTCCAGGTGAAGGCACACTCAGAGTAAGACCAGAGTAACGGTAATGGATGCAAAAGAGTATATCCCCACAGTGTCTACAGGGATTTCAAACCCTCAAGTTCCTGTCATAGTGATGAGAATATCTCCCCACACAATATATTTGTCACGTGTGTTCCAAGAATTTGTGCTCTTTCAGTGCCCACCATTTTGTTCCTTATCCCATCAGGTTCCAGATCCCTGGTAGTGCCTTTCCTTAGACTGAAACAGATAGAAGTCCTTGCTGGGATTTTGGAAGACTGTTGTAGTTCTACTACTTAAACTATAGTCTTCCTTGCCATGACTTCCTCTTCATGGAATTCCTCTGGCCTTTGTGAAAATAGAACCATGGTATGCCATATCTCCACCCTCCAAACAGGCTCAGACTTGCCTGAATTCTGGGCTCAGCACAACTGGTGTTCAGTCTGGGACCCATGGGACACCAGGAGCATGGAATGAGAGTTAAAATTCAAAGTTAAAGTGGTGGTTCTACCTTCACTTTGACCTGGAAATGTGAAGCACTAATGATGATTGTGCTGACAGGATTATTATTATTATTATTTTAAGGATTAATTGAAAGTATACTGTCGGAGTCCCTGACAGATGCAAATAGTTAACACTCTGGGCTGCTAACCCACAGGTTGGTGGTTAGAGTCTACTAAGAGGTGACTCTATAGAAAGGCCTCATGATCCTCCTCCGAAAAATCAGCCACTGAAAACTCTATGGAACACAGTTCTACTCTGACACACATGGGGTGGCCATTTGTTGAAGTCAACTCAATAGCAACTAGTTTAGTTTTCAATTATTGTAAAGATGGTGTGGGGGCGGTGTCTGACCTCCTCTTACTTCAATATGGGGGAGGAGAATCAAGATCAACAGCCCAAGGCTGATTCCTATGAAGCCGAGGTCAGACATGCCTCCTTTCTCAACCTTCTTTACCAATTCTAACACCAGCTGTCCCTCCCACAACACTCTCTACTTCTCTGCTAGGCTTGATAATTCATTGCAATGACCACACAGAACTCACAGACAATACTCACGATTATGGGGTTTATTTGGGAAGTAGCAGGTTACTATTCAGGTTCAGGAACTCTCAAGATACAGTTCTTCCATCAGCACAGCCTCTTTTCAGCTGTCCTTAAGGGCACACCTCTCTCTGGCCGTAGACCTCTGCCCAAAGGCACTCAGCTTTCTTGCTCAGTTAGCCGGGAAGCCCACCATACCATCTTCCGCTGCCAGGTCTCTGCCGCCAGGTCTCACTGTCTTCAGTGTTGCAGCTCTCTCTCTCTGTCTCCTGCTTCCAGGAGCTTCTCAGTGGAGGGATCCCAGGTTCAAAGGATTTGCTGTCCGCTCCTGGCTGTACTTCCTTGGTGGTGGTGGGATCCTCTCTTTCCCACCCTTCAAGCCCAGCGGGATGGCAAAACTGACCAGTCCCCTTGGTGGGCCACAATTACCCTATCCCACAGTCCCGTCCAATGACTTGGGTGGGAGTTACAAGACCATGGCTAGAAAGGCCACACGAAAGTGAACCATCACACAGCAGTTACACTGTAGTTACTGTAGAGCCCTGGTGGTATAGTGGTTAAGAGCTATGGCTGTTAACCATAAAGGTCAGCAGTTTGAATCCACCAGCTGCTCCTTGGAAACCCTATGGGATAGTTCTACTCTGTCATATAGGGTCACTATGAGTTGGAATCTACTCTACAGCAACAGGTAGTTACTGTAGTAAAAATTCCACTTATTTACCATAAGCTTAATACTTTTGAAACTCAGACCATCTGTTCCACCTCAGGCTGTATATGGTTGTTAGTATAACATAAATGCTATCACCAATATTCTGCCTTACCAGTTTTAAAATTTTCTAATTTGCAATGAGTTGTACACTTCCCCTAAAATCCAAATTTCAATGCCAGGGGACTATGTCAGTTTGAGAATTGGCATAGTCAAGTGCTTTTAATCATAATTTTTTTTCTATTACCATCATTCATATCCTGGCCTTTAAACATGACATTGGTTCTCTTAAGACTTTTTATTCAGACATTAATTAGATAATTAAAAAGCCTAGATTTATTAAATTTTTAGAAAGATGTATCAGAAAAGCTACTGATCATTTTGATTTTGCATATTAAAGGTAAAACTAATTTTTTCTTAATTGATATGAAAAAAAATTCAAATACCATGAAATAATTATATAGCAAATTCTTGACTTATTTGCCTACCAAACAGTCTTCAACTATCAAAACAAGAAAAAGTAATAGAAAACATGTAACTCCAAAAAAAAAAAAAAGAAATTCAATTCTAAAGAGGAGTAGAAAGGTTTTCTAGGTCTACTTCTGAAAGACATAGTGAGATACTGATCCTCTCCTATTTTCTTCCCTCTTTCCTCTTCCCTCATGGAGGAAGAGAAATCAAAATGATAAAGGAAAAGTGGCATCAAGTGGAAGAGACAGGAATACAATTGTTTCACTTTCTTTTTCCACCTAAATCCTCTAGGGAAAATCCAAATAGCAAACTTCTATGAGATGAGGTTCAAAGCAAAACAATGTATTTGTTCAAATTATAAAAGTAATAAAATTTAAAAAGCTTGGAAAATAGAGAAAACCAAGAAAAAATAGGAGGGAAGAAAAAATAGAAGGAAGGAGGGAGGGAAAGTAAAGGAAGGAAGGAGTTAGTGGAACTATTATCTGCTACATAAAATAGCCACTTTATCATATTGGTATATTTCATTCTAGCGTTTGTATATGTGTGTATAAAATGGTACATGCGCTTCTATATTCTGCTTTTTTCGTTTAATAATATATCCTGATCATCTTTTTTTGCTATTGCTACATCTGTGTACCATCATGATTAGTGACCATATAGTACATAGATGTGCCATAATTTAATTAAGTCAATTTTATTTTTTAAAAATTAGATCATTTATGGTATTAATATAATATATAAAACTTATTTAATATGTGTTACTATGTCAACTGATG